TCACAGCGTCTAGAATTCAGTATATACTCAGTAAATAGTTGTGGTTTGGGCAAATTAAATATAGCACAGTATTAAAAGGTGTACTTCAAAGCAGTAAGCAGAGAGCATTAATTTCATTTTAAAGTTATACTGATTCTAACCATAAATTATCCTATCATTCACACAAAAATTATATTTCAATTAGAAATTTTTCTTTCTCTTTTTTAATTAAGGGGAGCACTGAAAAGTTGTTATTAGTCCATTAATTGCTACAAGAAGATAATTTTGTTCTCAGCTACAGGGAAGCAACCAAATCAATATCCCAAGTCTACACTTTACACTAAAGGCTTAGGAAGGTCCTAATAATTTTCATGAAATATGTCAGCAACTCTAAGGCAAGAACTCGGACTACACTGTGCATTCCTGTAGGGCTAGGTTTTTTCATTTGCTGTAACAGTAAATTTGTTTCACATAAACAATTGAAGGCCTTTTAAAACCCAGGCTAAATTCTAACATGTCAGGGTTGGTTTCACATAGTCTCCAGTTTTCCTCTGACTTTAGGAGTCCATGATTCCTGTCTAACCCTTCTGTTTTCCAAGATATTTTTCTTTTGTGATATAATCTGAGTTACAAATAGGAAGATTTTCATTTAGAAGTTTTGTATTTCGTGACATTCTTGATGTCGTTCATAATTTTGAGATTGCCAGCAATAAATGCCCCCATTTTGGAAAACAAAACACACAGAGACGAGAAGATACTGAATAGCTAAATGGTGGAGATTTTCAACTTGAATGATAGATTTGTATAAATATTCACATACACACACACTCACGTACTTCCTACCTCCCCTTACCCAGTTATTTTCCATATGCAGCATGGAAAGTCCTCCAGCCCCAGATGGGTATCCATTCAGCACAGACAGTGCCTCTTATAATAGTAGATGCGCAAAGTGCCTAAAAATTCTTGCCCAGCAAATGCAGTCTTTAGTATCATTCTTCATTAATTGTAATTACTTTCATTTATATAGCTTTTATCAATTTAAAAAGAATGCCTACACAATTTTAATTTAGCAATTTACACTGCTACAAAGCTAAGGTCTCGGGAAGTTATTCGTGAGGTAATGACAGCTAGGAAAGCTATGATTTAAGTTTCTATCTAGCTTTCAACTACCAGGGGCTAAGAGTAGTAGATTTAATTATAAGACCTCTGACTCCCTTAAAACCTACAGTACTTGGCAAGCACTGTATTTGGAATTCACAATTACAAGTACTCTGGAAAGAAACCCAGCTAAGCAAATGTAATGTCTTTCTGCTGGCAGGTTTGATTCATACAGAAGCCTTTACTTAACAGTTAACTTAAACAGTTAACAACAGAAAAGCAATAAATGTAATGCCCAAATTGTTTCTCCTTCAGAGGCTCTGTAACTGAGTTTCTAGCATATAGGACATGGCTTTCCTTGATGGTTTCTCTTCCTTGGTTTGTAAACTCTCCCAGTGCAGTGACCATCTCTTCTTTGTGTATATTTCCATGAATGTGTATTATTTTAAGCACCCTAGAAAGTTCAACAAAAAGTTCTGATATTACAGTCCCCCTGGATTCTACTTCTATGGTGATGGTTTGGTGCTAAAGTAGGCGCATTCCTGATGACTCTTTGATGTGGCTCGTTGTCACCATGGACACAGCCTCTGCTCCCATTATCCGTTCCCATCATCCCATCAAGCAGAGGCACCAGAATCACGGAAACGAGCCCTGAAAGAAGTTCTCAGACCTCGTCCCAGGCTTTCGCGTAAATAAGATACTGTTTTTAATGCAAGGTTGGAAAACTGCCAAACTTACTGCCAAACTTACTGCCAAACTTAAACGAGTGTCTATTATGAACAAAAGGTTATTTGAGATGTGAATGATATATGCCGGGTAGGCTCATGGTGGGGAGAGGGACGGTAGCCACATGAGGCTTTGGAATGTCTGTTTTTGAAGTGTGTGGAGAAAGAATGAGGGAAGTTACTCACTAGCTGTGTTACTTTCCGCAAATCCCTGAACCTCGCACTAAGCCAACCGTGCTACTGGAGTTCAGATCCCCATCTGTGTGACATGAAGTTCCCCCTTCATGATTCCTCGTAGGTAATGCTTACTGGTTTTAACTGAGGACGGCATATACATGGGCGCGAGACAAAGGGTAGATTTTAAGATAATAGGTTATGATTCCTCTAGTACTCCACTCTTCGTCTCTTTTAAACTTGGAATTGGTGAACTCAAGAAGTCTTTCTGGGATTGACGTGCCGCCAAAACCCCTGCTGTGGACAAACCTCTCTCTCCTTCTCTGGATTTGGCTGCTCCACTTTGCATATGTGCTCCTCGTTTCCTATTGGAGGAGAGCCTGGGAAGAGCCTCTGAAGGTGGCATGGGTGTGTGGCAACTTTCATCCAACAAAATACCGTAACTCTTATGTTTCTTTACTGTTTTAAGAAGGCCTGTTAATTTTTTCTGTCTTCTTTTTAATTCAGGAATGCTGAAAAAATGAAATTTTTAAATGCCTGGAAAAGAGTCCAATATTTATTTATTCACTATGAACTAGCCATTTGTGGAGATTTATTTCTTAGAGCTGTGACCTTTGAGTGACAATCTCTCCTGGGTTAACTTAAATTCTCTGTCCAATATTGCCTAAATTAAATGGTGAAACATCGACCCATCTTTAATTTAAAGAACAACTGAGTTTCAAAGATGATTCATAAATTAGTCCTATCTAGCCTCTAAAAGAAAGACTTTCATTGTTCTCAAAAGGTGATTGGGGCTCAAGGGAAGACAAAACTGAGTAAAGACAATGAGAATCCTTTTTTTTTTTCTTCTGAAAAACAGCGATGTGTAACTACATTGTGAATCATAGTTTAACCTAAATTAATGGTAGCCAAAAGGCATTGTTTCTGCCATTTGATTCAGCTAATACTGATTTTATATGAAGACAGAAACACAGTAGAAATAATGATGCTGGAACACTTGTTGCTGCTGTGGTTGCAAGGCATTAGAGGTAGGAGAAAAGGGGAGATTTAGGTTTTTCTTGTCAGACATCATTTTACTCAATTAGGAATCCATTTTACTTTTTCATTGTGTTCACACTTATTTTCATTTTTGACTTCACCTATCTAAACATAAAAAATACTATCATTCAAGTATCTTTTTTTCACATTAAGCATTCTGGGGTCTTGATTTTGTTTGTTGGTTTGCTTTTAAGATCTATGAGGCTTTAATGACAAATACTGTATATATTTTATCTCTTCTGTGGAACTGTAGGTCTTAATTGACAACAGAGGAGCTCTGTATTATTCCTGAAGGGATCTAAATCTAAACTACGAAATTATATGGAGGAAATCTGACCAGCCCTTCCAAATTTAGAATAAATTAATGGGAAATAGTTGAATGCCATATTCAGAGCCTTCAGCCTGCCCATCCTTGCCAAGTTCCCCATGACCATGAGCTCATGGAAATATGTCACTAGCAAAACTGGAACAATTGTTTTTGTTCTTTGCTAATATATATACCTAGAAAAGATAAAGGGAGTTAAGAAAATCATACATCAGGTTATATTCCCTGTGTGATTAATCCAACCAATTGATTTTAAAATCCAGTGAACAAGCCACTGGGAAGCAAATTCACAGAAATTATAATACTTATTTTCTTTATAAATGACTCATACGTATTGATATTAAAATACTATTAGCATAATAATTAAGCCAAAGATGTAATCAGACAATTTGCAAATGATAGAATAATTGTAAACTGTTTAAAATCCCAGGCAAAAATGTTCATCCTCGTTATAATCAAAGTAATACATAATAAACAATGGGTTAGCATGTTGCGCTCATCAAATAAGTGGTTTTTTTAAGTGAGATCGGCTTGTTAAGGAGAAACGCTGCTGGGATGAGAGTGAACTGGCATCAGTCTTGGAAAGGCAATTTGGCATTAATGAGACTTAAAATGTTCACAACTTCTTACTCAGTAATTCCATGTCTAGAAATCTTTCCTAAGAAAATAACCATTAATATAGAAAAAGCTACAGAGTTGTCCATCTTTTTTGCCATTTAAAATATAAAAAGACTGGCTACAACCTAAATGTCCAACAATAAACAAAGAACTAAGTAAACTATAATTAACCCAACAGATGTCACTTTGTGCATTCACATAAAGCAATTAAGCAGAAGTTATCATAAAGATGGAAATGGTTATAGTATGTTAGTGAAAAAGCTGAATATATTATTTTATGTACATTATTATTTCAGTTATGAAAAGCAAACCACAAAGAAGTTGGAAAGACATACAACATAATATCTCATTTTTTAAGATGATGAAAACGACGTAAAAGTTTTTTCCATATGTATTTCACAGCTCTCTCACTTTATATAATATGCATATCTTCTCTTATAACAAAAAGATGTTTTATTAAAGAAATAAAAAGTACAGAAAAGAATGAAGGAGGAATGATCAATCAACGTGGAGCAGACATTCGGCTAATGAATGTAGATTCCACCCTCACAGTTCATTCTACAAGTGATGGAATTTTCACTGGCCTTTGCCAAATTGTCATCTCTTTGAGAGCTGATGATTGGATCGATTTCTGGGAAGATAATATATGCCTAAAATCTAAGGAATTAGAATGTTGTTACTCCTAACCTGCTTTATAACTAAACCAAAGAGGAATATGCATGGTCAACAAAAGTTTCTTTAAAAATAAATACTCTAAATGGTGTGATTATCAAGGAACACTTAGTAATTGAATAGGTACAACTAACTTTATATTATCAAATACTGCCTAACTTTTTATTTTCAGAGAAAATAGTCAACTTACGCACGTTAATATATTTCAAACTATGTTCTAATTATGGTAAAGGTTATCTCACACTTTTGAAATAATTGTGTAAACGAATTTACTTGCCCAACATGAAGTGTCTTTTTGCCAGAGGCTTGGGAATTATCGTGTGAATTTTTAAGCATAGGAATTGAACAAAAGAATTTAAAATGCCACTTACCTGACATGCTTCTTCTCTCAGAGAAATCCTTATGTAGCCATAGGCAAATGTATGGATTAAAAATGCTCCCCCAAGCTTTTTTTTCTAAGTTAACGTTGCTCTATTATGTTAGAAGCAGTGTGGCAGTAAACCTTGTCTTTATCTGCACCTCTGTTTTTTCTCTCTTCTGTTTCTTAAAATCTTTTGTGTGTACTTTGTTCAGTTACAAACAGGAAACGTGGTGATGGTGGCTTCTAGAGTTTTAATCTGAAACCAGTAGGCTGTTACATTTTTGTGAAACGTGAGAAGAAAAATCCCACAAGCCTCTGTACTCTGGTATTTGAATTTTTATCAATACCTGCATCAAATTTTAAAATAAGTAGTAAAATCAAGGTATGAATTAGACTAGGAAGGATCTGCCATCTCTTGGGAGAGAATCTAGGGATCCCCTCCCAAGTGAGGTCACAGGAAAATAAAGTGAAATATACTAAACCGGGGAGGAAACAGTGAGAAGCCCCCAGGTGTGTTCAGCTGCTGGCTGTGTTCTCCTTGAGGCAGAGGAGAGGGAATTCACACTTTTCGAACACTTAACTATGTATCAGGTAGTTTCTACACACTATCTTGCTGGGACATTCAGTGCCTGCCTTCTGTCCTGCCAATCCTTGCCCCCACCAATGTGAGTCTCTCTGTCCCGTCTGGGGCCCCATGGTGACAAGCTCCAGCTCTCAACCCCCACCCCAGAGTCTCCACAGCAGAAGTTCTTGAAGGTTAGTATGCAGAAGTGTCTTATGTGGCGTGAGTTTAACATGCCTATGCCTGAGCCCTACTGAATCAAAGTATTTGGAGTGGAAATCTGCATTTTCACTATTATCCTTGGCTATTTTAATATAAGTGTTCTGGGCAACCTCTGAGAAACTTACATGGATATGTCACTGGTAGTTTTGTTTTTAACATGATTCAGATAGAGACTGTCTGGGTCACATCTACGTATACAGTTTGTACATGTTTCTGTGTTTGTCTACCTGCTGCGTATTATATGCTTATGCATATTTGCTTATGGACTTCACCAATTTTGTTTAATTATAGAATAATGGCAAATCTGAATCCCTTTTATGACAGAAAGAGACGTACTTAAAACTTTAAGAACTCAAACTTTAAAGGAAACTTCAGAATGAGACTTGGGGCACACGGACTCAAAGCAAAGACATTAGTTGCTTAGTTGATTTCTCTAAGATTCCTGAGGGCAAGGAGAACATTGATCTTATGCATTATTAAAACTCCAGCATCTTGAATAATACCTGGCACATCGTAGGTCTCAATAAATATTCTCACAGTGATTGAATAAATAAAAGGAACATTCGTTTTCTGCTTTCTCCCTGCTCCATTGTAGAAAACAACTCCCTAGTAACCAAAATACAGTGCTTCTCTTGTCCTTGGACTGAGTTAACTAAACACGAACAGGTTTTTTTCCCTCCAAAATATTTCTTGTGAATCATTGATTCAGAATCTATAAAACAGAAAGAGACCATGGAGATTCTCTGGTCTCATCTTCTAAAAAAACATTTTCAAAATATGTTTCATAGAATACATTTTGTTCTAGGTCTTTAAGAAACTCTTGGAAAAAATATGCCTTCAACAAACGTATTTGGAAAAATTGTGTATTATTTTCACCTCTGTGGATGCAAATTTGTATAGTAAAGGCTTAGATAAGTTGTACAAAAAAGGAAACCTGAATAATGTGTTTTATCGGTGCTTTTTTAAACCTATTTGTGCAGAGAAGCTTTGGTTCAGCTGCCATCTGTTAGCAGGGTGGCAGACTGCACGAGCAGGCCTGGATGCCTACAGGCGAAGAGCTCAAGGGAATAGAAGTCTTGAGTTCATGTAGGGACCAGAGGAGGACAACAAAGAACCAGAAGGATCCATCCAAGAATTAGAGAGAACCCTGCAATGGAGACAGCTGAAGAGAGGACTTTCAGACTGCCAGGACGATTTGAACACCTGAGACATCAATTCAAGAAGCGAGGACCCTGATGTGGGGTGGCCATGAGGGGGTACCCTTTGGTCCTAAAACAAGATGACTGGCAAGAAGGGTAGAAAACCCAGGCTCAAAAGGGAACTGCAGAGATTCCCTAAGCAGGACCTTAGCACAGGCGCAAAGCAGATCTCCATTTATATCAACTGGAGCATGCAGAGGACCCTGGAGAGAGAAGGAATCTCAGGACTGGAAATTTAGTGCAGACATCCCCCTTGTTAGAACAAGAACAGTGCAGAGGTTGGGAAAAGAAGGTACAAGGATGCCCTCATACTGGCCGATCGATAAAGAGCAATTCTAGAAACAATAAGAGTGTTTAGTAGTTGGCTTTGGATGCAGAGAAGGTCAGAATCAGCAATAATGCCTCAGGTCAAAATGCAGGAATTCTGTGGTCAGCCCGAGAAGTATAGCTCTCAGGACAGCCCAACAGAGAGAGAGAGGCCAAACCCACCAGTGGGACAGCGCCTGAAGATGCCTAGGCTTGCCTATCTCAAGTCTGTGGCCTCCTACACACAAGTCTGAGAGATCCAGGGAAGACAGGAGCACAGGAGACAGGCAGGGGCCAAGGAAGTACACACCCGCCCTCTTCAGGCCAATACAGCAGCCTGAGGTGTATGTTGAGTGGTTACCTAATGGCTTAACAGGGTTAAGGTACATGATTGTACATAATGTGCATGATTGGCATTTCCAGAATAGTCAAACAGGCTGATAAATCTGAACCACTTCACAATTTCTAATTATTAGAATGTTCTTGAAAAGTGATTTGCATTACAGTGGTCCCCATTCCGTACATTCAAATACTCAGGAGATAGAACAAGATTGTCCAAGGTCACATAGAAAGTCCGTGTCTGTGCATTAGATGGTTCTGCAGATGTTGGAATTGGCCAGGGGGAAAATGATAGTCTTTCATTAAATATGGATGGCTGAGCATATAAGGATGTTATCAGAATATAAAAACCTAAGGATATATGTTTGTTATGAAATATATTAGGGAGTGCATTCAGAGACTTGACTGATGGCTTCATGAGTCATATTCAAATAATAAATAAACATGAAGCTTCTGGAGTACTTTTTAGTGAGAGAGGTTATCAAAATGAAGTTTAGGAGATAGCTGGGCAAAGCAGAAATGTCCTGACAAGCTTGAAGCAGTTATAAATGTTGTAGGAAATTTGGGAGAAAGGTGCGTGGTTTTGATGGGTACCTGTCAAGAAATGAGGATTTTAAGGGCAACAAAATTGAGGTTTTGTTGCCAAAAGAAAATAAAAAAAACATCAAAATGGCAGCTGCCAATCAGAGCTTCAACACTCAGAAAAATGGGTCATAGAGTATAAAAAAAAAAGGCCCAGTTTTCAACTTCTTTTTTTCTATTAGTTTATAATTAATCATTATCACTATATAGTGTATTTATTTTTATTTGCATACATATGCATATATCACATACACACACAGAGGTTTTGTTTTTGTTTTTGTTTTTTGGTTCAAGGGGTTCTAAAATGTTAAGAGTAGTTATTAGCAGGGGATTGCCTGGGACTTAACTTTACATTTTATATATTTATCTAGTGTTTAAAATTACTTACAATAGCTTACACTACTTTTATCATTGATGCTTCCTCATTCTAAAGGCTCTTTGGAATACCTTGCTTTTATAGAAACAGAATTTCTCTCTCTGTGATTGTTTTCTTTATCCTGGTAAATCATTCTTTAGTAAGACTGAAGCTAGTACAAAGTAAGAAAACAGCTGTATGAAAGACAAGAGGGGAAGGGGCCCCTGTGCTTCCAATCATGCTGTTTTAAAATGTGAAATTATTCAAAATTAATTATGGTGTTACAATCGCCTCTGATTAGACTATATTGATGATTCATATTTTCATTGAGTTTACACTATCAGATCTTCCAGAAAACATAATTATTCAGATGGAAGAGAAAAAATAATTTAAAAGCAATGGAACACTGCATGGATTTGGCATAACAGACTCAGATCTTCTTATTACACTTATTATAGCCTTACAGAACCAGAATTCTTGGAAAATCAAAAATAAAAGAGTAGATAACAAAAATTCAGAAACAAGGAACAAACTAATCCAGCAATATATTAAAAGAATAATATAATAATATATTATGACTGAGTGGGATTTACCCCAGGAATGAAAGATGGTTTAACATTAAAAAATCAATCAATGTAAATCAGGTTAACAGACTGAAAGAACTCACAAAACAAAAAAAACCAACCATATGATCATTTCAGTAGAGGCAGAAAAACTTTTTGACAAAATCTCAACATGCATTCCTGACTAAAAAAATAAAACTCTCAGGAAACTAGGGATAGAAGAGAACTTCCTCAACATGATTAAGAGAAATTACCAAAAACCTACAGCTCACATCATCCTCAATCAATGATTAAGGACAACGTTCTTGTAATTACTGAATGTTTTTCCCTCTAGGATAGACATAAGGCAAGGCTGTCTACTCTCACCAATGCAATTCAGCATTGTTCTAGAGGTGGTTCTAGCCCAAGAAATAAGCAAAAGAAATTAAATGCATCTGGATTGGAAAGCAAGGAGTAAAGGAAGAAGCCTCACAAATGACATGTTGTATATGGAAGCTACAAAAACAATCTGCTGGGACTAATTAGCAAGTGTAGCAGGGTTTCAGAATATAAGATTAATATATAAAACTTTATATTAGCAATAAAAAATCAGAAATTAAAACAGGAACAGAAATGAGATCAGTAGGTTTGGGGGCTAGAGGTTGGAGAAAGGATTGAATGCAAAGGGACCTAAGGGAACTGTTTTGGGAAATTTTTTAAATGACCCATTTTTACTCTATGTAAAATATACCTTGATAAGTCTAACTTTAAAATTTTGGGTAGAGAAAAGAAAAAATAAATAATCTATGGATCCATGTTGATTAGGAAAGGAAGGAAAGAAGGAAGGAAGGAAGAAAAATGAACAAATTAAAAGGGAAAATTGTTTCTTAGAACAGAACGCGAACTATTAAATGTGGAAGGCATGATGGAGTTAGAACATTCACAATTTTGAAACTATCAAATTAATAACTGATTTAGAAAAAATAGTCAATAGATGCTAAGCTAGGTATAGCTATATATTTAGATATGGATTTAATTATAGAGACACAATAGATTTGTAAAAAGATATAGCTATATTATCATGTTAAGGAAATAGCCATCAAATCCTCTGTAATTTTTATCAAAATC